AGAAATTAAAAATTGAAGTTGTGTACATTTTATGATTAGTTAAGTTATTGAAAACAATTTTTAATTATTTGTTAGATGTAAAAATTCTTTAAAAGAACAAAAATTTTGGTTTAAAATTAAATAATCAAGCCAAATAAATGAGATGAGCTTGAGCTTTTGAAACGAGCTCAAGTAATCAAGTTGAGCTCGAGCCCAATAACTAAGCTTGAGTCGAGCTCGAGCTCAAGTTCATGCTAAATACTATTAAACGAGCTTAACTCAATAAGGCAGATACTCGACTCAACTCGACTAGTTTACACCCCTAACTATAGCTATTATATGAATCATCAACATCAGTATGTTGATAACAAGTCAAACAATCCAAAGATTAAAATTGTTTTAGATCATTATAAGGATAAATTAATTGCTGAGTCAAGTAAGAGGGTAAAGGATGATCTTCAATTTGCAGCATTCAAACAAGGAACAATTCTCTAGATTATAATAAGTCAATGATACAGTAGCAAAATATTCCCCATGTAACACTTAACATTTACATATTACATTCCATTAAATTTATATACTATGTTAATTATATTTTATTTTAATTAATGGAGGGGTAAATTCAATTTGAAGACAGTACTCCTAAACTACATATGAAGATTCAAAGTATTGGGTCTTAAATGCCATCATTAAGAGTGAGTGAAATTGGAGCAAATATATGGCAAGCTTATATCAAGAGGAGAAAAGTTAAACTACCTTAAAGAATGAACATATTGGTTTACATTATGTACAACAAAATATTAGAGGTAAAAATTTGAAGAATGCATGTTCACAAAATGGTGAAGATTTATTAGTTTGCAATGATGAGCCATCCAATGATGAATAATTAGCGGATGATGAACCTAAAGTTAAATCATCACAATTGCAAGAGGAAGATATCAATGTTGACTTCTTTGATGGAGGAAGGAGCAAGACCAACACAAGTTAACAAGAAAGTAACAAAAAATATATTTCTTTTAAACTTTATGTAATTAAATTATAATCATCAATATAGTCATTATTTTAAAACTTAATTAATATTCCAATTGATTTTTATTGATTCGGAAAAACGAAGTTAGTTAAGATCGAAGATAAAGAGAAAGATTCAGAGGATGATGACACAAATGAGAATGAGAGAGGAGAAAAAATAATTCACCATAATTGTGATTCTAATGAAGACTACTGAGTGATACAAGTTGAGGATATTTTTGAATCATAAATTATAATCTTAGTAGCTTAGACTACTTGTTCATGTTGAAATTAGAGTAAGAGAGACTTATCACTATGAACTTATTTTGGCATCTTACTTTGATGTTAGTGTGGTACATCTTATTTCATATTTTTAATTTATTTAATATTTTAATTCTAAGACTTATTTATGCCTCAAAACACCTCCCAGCTTACATCTCGCTTCACAAATAGAAAATGCCTCAATACCTAATTGCATAATTTAAAAACAATGCACAAATATTATGAATTTTATAACAATACCTCAAGGAAAAGGATTGGACGTGCTACTTCGACGAGCAACTCAAATAGAGTAAACAAGTCTATGTCGTTAACAGGGAATATTCTTCTCCTACTAGGATAGATCAAATAAGTCAGCTTAATTTTTTTCATATCTTAATAACTTTTGCCCTTCCTAATTTAAGAGTAAAGATGAATTTTAATATGAAATCCATTAAATTGTCAAACACCAAAGAACCACTTTTAAATTTATGATGTATAAAGCTACCCAATCTTTTTTTCACTAGTGCACTATAATATTCCGGGACACTCTGAATCATAAAATCTTTACTCCAAATGTTACTTCATTACTTTTATTAATGATCATACCTGAATGTGCTGGCTCTACTTGTTGAAAGATAAATCAGATGATGAACAAATATTAAAAAACTACCACAATATGGTTAAAATATAAAAATTAGTTGAAATCCAAATCTCATATTCTGATAAGACCATTAAGTATTTCAACCACATCCTGGGAGATTATTTAAATCAAAATAATATTATTCACCAAAATTCTTATCCCAACACACCTAAACAAAATTATAGCAAAAAAAGAAAAAATATTAGACACTTACAGGAGTTCGTAAGATCTATTATGTTCACCACTAGAACTCCTATTTTTTCTAAGTAAAGCAATTATTATTGCTTGCTACCTTATAAATCAGATACTAACAAAATGCACTTCACTTCAAAACTCATATCAAAGTTTTTTTCCAAATGATTCTCAAATATCAATACTATTTCTAATCTACCCCTTAAAGTCTTTTAGTATATTGCATTTGTCCACAATCAATAATCTAATAGAAATAAACTCGATCCCAATGCCTTTAAACAAATCTTTCTTGGGTATGAAGTAAATCAAACAGGGTACAAACTTTATCTCCCTAAAAAAATCATTTGTGTCTATGGGAACCATCTTCTTCAAAAATAAACCCTTTTTCCAGAAAAATTTCCTTTAGGGGCAATTTGAAAATAAAGGTAATTTTAATAACTTCCCTTGAAATTCTTCACCCTATAAGCACCATTGAGAACCTTAATCTTTCAGGAAGCGATAACGATTTAGAAATTATCAAACCTCCTAACTTTCACCGTCTATTACAATCTCAAGATGACTTGACCAACAAAAATGCCAACGTTCTATCACAACATTTCCCAGGACTTTGGAGCATACTCTCAAAGGAAGAACATATGAAGAATTGAAACCTCTCAATCTCCTCAAGCTTGTTGCAGATCATACCCAAACATGAGCAATCCACAAAATCCCCTTCCCTTCTAATATTTATGAATAATTATCCATTGCTTTAGTAAAGGTGCTCGCGCCTTATGCAGCATCCTTTAGCAAATTTTATTAGATATAAAAATTTGTCCTTCTTGATGAAAACAATTATTTCCAATTTAACAAAAATTAAAAATCCAAACACTACAAAAGAAGCCCTTAATAAACAAAAATGGCCAGAGGATGAGGAAGATTAAATGAAGGCTCTTGAAAAAAAAAATGGAACATAAGTAGTTAGAAACCCAGTGGTAAAATTTGGGCGGTCGTAAATGGGTTTCTATTGCCAAATGTCAACCTAAAGGATCCATCGAAAGATACAAAATACAGTTGATTGCAAAAGCATTCACTTGAACTAATGACGTTGACTGTTGAGACACATTCGCTCCAATTGCAAAACTTAACACAATTTGGACCCTCTTCTCAACAGCAGCTAATCTAAATTGGTCATAGTGTTCGTGTTTCATAGCATGGCAAAGAAACAAGAAAAAAAGAACAAGCATCTTCTACTTCATTCCTTTAGAGGCAATCTTATAATAAATGTAGCAAACAACTTCCATTTTCTTTCCCAATGGACATTTATACCACCTCAAGCATGAAAACAACTCTTCTGCACTAGGAGTAGCATCGGTAGTGATGTAGGCAAGCTTTGGGCTGCTTGCTACCTCTTGGTTTTGTCCTTGGGCTGCTTGTTGTTTCTTTGTTTGGGGCCTTGGCTGTTCTCGGGTGGGCTTTGGTTGCTTAATGTTGAGCTTAAAAGTTGGGTTCTACTTGGTGTTAGCTCATTAATTTTTTAGCTGATGGTTAGCTCATTATGAGCTGAAGTTTAGCTCATTTATTTGGTGTAGTTGGTAGCTCATTAGTATTGTGGAGCTTACTCTTCCCATTCCCCTTTGTCTTCTCGGTTTTCCCCTGGTTGTTGTTGTTCCCGTGAAAAGCTGATGGGGGGTTCCGCCCCCTTTTCCCTGGCCTCCTCGGTTTCTGCTGGTTCCGCCCCTTGTAGTCTAGACTGGGATGAACGTGGTTGATATTTGGGATGCCTTTTCAGCTACTGTTTGGTATGTCTCTTGGCCTTCTATTTCCCTCTTTTTTATTGGTTTGAAAAGAGGTGAGTGGCTGTTTGGTTTCCCCCTTTCTTCCTCTATATAGAGGCTGATTTGAGGCTTGAAAAGGATGTTGTGTGCTGATTTTTGGAAAGAAACCTGAGGGTTTTCTTAGATAGCTTGCGAGCTATGCCACTTCTTCCTCACCTTCTTGGGAAAGCTTGCAAGCTTGTCCTCCTATCATTCGTCTCGGACTTCTAACCTCCTTCTTCTCGCCGCAAGTGACCACCCCACATGTATCCTTCTTCTCGACGGATGAGAAGCAGTTTTAGGAAGTCGTATGTGTCGTTTTATTTTTATTTCATAAGTTTGTAAGCGTCCTTTGTTGTAAGCATCATATTTATGTTATAAAGTTATATTTTATCGTATTTGTGTCTTTTTGAGTATTTTGTGTATTTTCTTATCCTAGGAAGAGTTTATTTTGCTTTTCTCCTTATTTTTGCCTGCATCGGGTAGATTCATGTATTATAATCATACAATACTTGTACATACAAATTATTCAAAACAAAGCTTTCATTTTTAGTATAGTTTAAAAACTATTGAAAAAATACACAAAATTTATCCCTAAAAATTATAATACATGTATTGTATCTATTATAATCTCATATATAAGAAATGCACATTTATCTATCTACTTTGGTATATCAAAAATGAATTTTAATTTGAATAAATTTAATAGAATAAATTTTGATTAACTAATTTATATTTGATAGTATGAATTATATAACGATATCTGTATAACAAATGCATATTAATATCAATTTACTATATGTCTAGCATTTTACTAAGCAAATAGCAAAAAAATCAAAGCAAGCAAAGGCATTTACAAAATCCCTGACGTGCGAAATGTCAAATAATGTGGGACAAATGTTTCTATTTTAAATTAGGGACCATAAGTAGATAGTACATAAATGGCTTAGACTTCAGCTGGTATGATAAACATGATTCAACTAAATACCATCCGCACCTATAAAATATGAAGTAGTATAGATTGGCAAGTACTCATCACATAGATTATGAAGACGTGCATAAGAAGAAGAAGAAGAGAAGTTTTGCATAAAAAGTTAAAAAACAGAGCATTAGAGAATATGGGTCACCTGCAAGGCCTTTCCATACCACCGACGCTTTCTAAGGTTCAGCAATGCAAGTGATATTTCACCTCGTCCCAAAGGATTCCCTGCTTCCACCCACTGATCAAGGGCACTGGTTAAAGAAAGGCGAGTAGCTTCCATTATGATTTTGAAAACTGGAGAACTACGACTCTTCTTGGCAAGTTCTTTTTCATCAGTATCAGAAAATGCAAGGGAGCCCTTATCAGCCTCATCGACATCTTCCTCAGCACTATCTGCTTCAGAAACCAATTCATCATCATTCTTTTCAGCAAGTTCTTCAATCTTCTCAATTTCTGGAGGTACTTCAAGATCAGAAAACCCATCCTCCAAGTCATCCTCCTTGTCACTAGACTTAGGTCCTACCTGAGAAGAAAGGTTTCTTCCCCAAACTAAAAGCAGTGAACGATGAAAGCCTCCGCCAGAAACAGGCCTTGTCAGATGATAAGTTCCATTAATTAGACAAACTTTTGAATACTGAACTCCATTGTCCAAATTACTAAATGCTTCAGGCTTAGCATAAAAAGCATGGCTAAACAGCATGCAGCAACTCTGATTCCTGGTTATAAAAAATTAATTAGAGAAAAAGCATAGTAGAAACAGGAAATTTGCTAGCATTGCATATGTGCTTTATTCATATGCACGCTAAGTCTTATTTCAACACACAAGTCTTTATTCAATGCTGGGAAATTACCCAAACCATTTTTTTTTTTTTTTTTGGTGAGCCTGCACCTATGTAAAATTTTGATACAAACATGAGTACTAAACATTGACATGCAATGAGACAGAAAGGATATTCATGTTTAGTTATCAAAGGTAAGATGAAGAGTGAAAGGAACAGTGTCCCAGTGCTAGAGAAGGTTGTTTCTTCAAGATCACAGGTTCAAGCCCCGCACTTTGCGATTTAGGGCTCAATATTTCAAAAAAAAGGTAACATAAGGTGATGATAACAGCAAGGTTAGAGGCATTACAATTTCTTTGATGTGCAAAGTTACTAATCCTGCAGTGACTAACCTTATGCCTGTTACAACTATTTAAATGTCTTCATTCAAACGAAAGAGTGAAAAATAATATGAGCTGCACGTTTAACGACCAGAACATACTGCAATATAGATAGCGCATTAGTTGACACTTCGAAGTAATAATCAACAAAGTTACATTGAGTTCAAAGATTCTTAAGACACAATAAGTAAAAGTTTTCAATGATAGAATTCCAACAGGAAACCTATAAAGCTTGAGATATCATTTGCTTCCTACTCCACAGAATATTTGTTAGAGTAGAGAAATAGACAGCGTTGTCTAATTTCTAATAAATCCAATTAGAAGAAACAAAAAGGATAAATTCAGAAATATATAAAACAATAAAAACGCTATTCTACCAACTATCATTACTAGTTACAGCACACTAACTCAACAAGGAAAGAACTTTGGAGCTCAGGGCAACGGTAAGGACCACAAAAGACACGGAAAAAAAAAAATCCATGAGGTCTGAAATAAAACGCTTCAAACGAATCTTGATAATGAGTCAGAAAGCTGTAACGAAAATGAGGATTCACCTAATAGGATTTGGAGCTCTACGAATCGCCCACATCGTCGTTGAGAACACAAACAAATTGAGAGAAGAAAGGTCAAGTGGAGTAGGCGATCCCAAAAGCCCTGCGAACTAGCCCGTGAGGAACCTCTCTCTTAACTTCCCAGTACACACAATAGAAAGAGCAGGAGGGGCTCGAATTCTAAAACCCTAAACCCACGGGCGTAGGTCGACCTAAACAAGCCGATTTTTTCTTTCGAATAAAACATGGAACAAATATTTCGAACTCCCGATTCAAATTTTACATATTTACAAAATTAATATGATTTACCTCTATTTATCGTAAAACTGCAAAAATTCTGAAAAGAACAGCAAAATATTACCCAATCTTTTGCTTTATTTAAGTTATCATAGATTAAGATTTCATTTGGGATAAATTTTTTGTTCCTTTTTTAAACATAGTTTTTGTTGCGTCCTGGAATATTCGCGGCGGTAGAGAAATATATAGTTTAACGTCTTAGCGTTGTACGAAGATCCAGCACACAATCAGATAAGTGAGAGGATGTAGCATTCATAAGTGAAACCAGAGTTTTTACGTGGAAAACCCCTAAAAAAGGGGGAAAAATCACGGGGCCTGGCCCGGTTTGAATGAATCCACTAGTATTTGTAGTCGATTACAAATGAGGCAAATATTCTTCTCTTCCTCCTACCTTATTCGCTCTCTCTTCTTCCTCTCTTTATGTGAAGAATGGGGTCATATTTAAAATTTTTTTAGAGTAACATGGCTTGTAAATATGAAGGAGATCGTCAAGATTGGAGTGTTAGAATAAATGATAGATATTGATTCCCTTAATCATAGATCATTGATCGAGCATTTAAGTGTCTTAATGAAGTCGAATAAAACGGTCTTGGACTCATTGGAATCGTTTCGTTGAGCCATTCGATTTGACTATAAGCATGTCATATTTGTCGATCATTTGGTTATCCCATTAATGTTTTGAACCCTTCAAATATGCCTTAGACCTTTGATTTTGACTTGTTTGGGCTCGGATTGGACTGATTTTAGTATTGTTGGGTTCGTCTCTTCAAGATATTCAATTTGACTATAAGTTTGTTGAAATCAAAATTTGGATTATTCTTATTTTAGAAATATATTTATAAATCCTTCTTAAAAAAATCTAAGAATAAATATATTAATATATAGTTTTTGAAAAGTAATATAATCAATGATAACACATTTTTATTAAGACCAGTCAATATTAATTTTAAGAAATGATAATATTGATATATCATCAAAATTTTATTTTGATCGGACACGAATCTCGAAGCAAAATCAAGTTGAAAAGTTCCGAAATTAAATTTGGGGCAATTTAAACTTTGATTTCAACAAACTTACAGTCAAATAGAATGTCTCAAAAATAAAAACCCAACGACACCAAATTCAACACAATCCGAGCACAATGGGTCCAAATTGAATACCTGAAGCACCTTTGGAAGGTTCAAACTATAATTTGGATTACTAAACAAACTCCAAATGTAACATGCTTACAGTTGAATCGAGCGGCTAGACGAAACCAATCCAACGAGCCTAAGATCGTCAAATTTTGATATCATTAAGATATTTAAATATCCAATAAATGGTCCAAGGTCAAGGGAATCGGTATCAGTCGTCTATTTAAATCACTCCCAACTTACTCTTAATCTTCCTCCTATTTACTAGTCATGCCACTATCATAAAATCTCAAGTTGCTGCAGGGGATGTGCTTAACTATCAATCCTCCTAACAATTACTTGGGAGGAAAGTAAACAAATCATTCAAGGTAAATCATTTGAGAAAAAGTTCATTGGATATTCTGAAATCAAATTTCAGGATAACTAAAACTTCAGCAGTCGAATCCTGACGTGAAAGTAGCTAAAAGAGCTATTTTCATCATCAAAATGCTCATTTCTGCTTGGTAGTACTTTCATGAATCACTTCTTCACTAAAAATTCTATGATTGTTAGATCATTTAAGGTTTTTGGTTCAAAGTTATATTTGAACAAACTTTTATAGCTTGTAAGGAAAACTGATTTTACTGGTTCAGTATTCAAAGGTTTGTTTACAATCTGGTTTCTTTCATTCCTTTTATAAAAAATCTGAAATTCTCCAGGAGCTTTTATTTTCAATTCCATAAATATTTTCTTGGCACCTCATTTGTCAGCAAACACAAGTGTTTCATAGCATATCATTCAAAGGTTTTCAAAGTTATTCTTGTTTTTGTTGTTCGTTTGAATATTTTCTTTATGGTTTTTCAAATCATTTATAAGCAAGGTTGTTCTTGAAAACAGTTTTCATAGAGCTTTTACATCTTATTTCAATCTACAAAACCTGAAATCAATGGTTCAAATTGTGAGTTTGGTTATTGAAAAATTGTTGGAAGTGGTCCTAATGGTTATTCCAAAGCAAGTCAATGCAATATCAAGCAATTTAAACAACTAAGGCTTTGTTTGAGACGACTTTCTTACTTATTCTTAAAGCAGCTTTTTAATACAAATATTTTAATTTTTATATTAAAAAGTTGTTTTAAGAAGCAGTAAGAAAGCCGTACCAAACAAAGCCTAAATTATATATTTCACCCGTTGCAATGAGGCTTAAATCATGTTGGTAGTATCATTGCTTAATCTCAATCATTATGATATTTATAAAGTGTAAGTTAAATTTCTTACATCTTGCATTTAGGTATTGTTTGAGACGATTTTTTTATTATTTTTTAAAACAAAATTGTACTAAAATATTAAAATTTGTGAACTAAAATTCTGTTTTAAGAAACAATAAAAAGTCGTCCAAAACAAAGTCTTAGCCTTATGAGCAAGTAATCTCATTGTACAAATCAATAAAAAAAAGTCTGAGGTATTTTAAGCACAATTAGAACGAGACCTCTCTAATCCCTCCAACATTTTGAAAACTCTAATTTGGAAAAAATTTAACAGTATAAGAGAGCAGAATATATTTATGACCAGTGCTACCAAGATTGACGCTCTTCATTGACACCAACACCCCAAGGCTCGTCTTACTTCTATCATTGTATTCATCTTCTATAATTCATGCTATCTCATACTAGTATAATCATTTTAATTTGATAATATCCGAGAATTTTTCCCCTTCTATTTTTTCCGCATAAGAAATTTTATATCTGAAATGAGCCACTCTCCACTTATCTGTATATATGTGAGACTTTCGTACAATGCTAGAATAATAAACTCTACTATCTCGAATACTAGATCTCACAACACCTTTAAATTTTATATTTTAGTTAGTTAATTAATATTCCTCCTAAAATATCATGAGTTATATAGAGCTAGGGACTTTGCAATATATCTGTCATGGAAATGATACAATTCTATAATAGATACAAAGACTGTGTAATGCAAGGTTTTATGAAAAGTATCTCCATTTATGAGATTCTGAGGTCAAGGATTGGCATACACAACTTCTAAAAATATTAAATAAATAAATTCTATTTTGACTCCTAAAATTTTTTAAAATAATTCAACATTTATTTTAGTTTTTCTATTGTTTTTTCTTTAAAGTTAATTTTAATATTTTAAACATAACAAGTTTAAAATTGTATTTTTTATATATTAAATATATAGTTCTCAAGTTCTAAGACCCAGTTTGATGATATCAAGGTTTTAATAACAGAATTTCAAGGAAAATTTGTTCAAATTTTTAGAATTTCATGTTAAATAATATAGAGTGAAAGGAATATTTTTTAGTTATTTTATTTAGTACAATATAAATACATGATTTTACTTTTTCTTTATTTGGTTTGAAGTTAGGAAGTGCGAACAGCCTCCTATTATTTTTTAGGCATTGCAATTATAGATCGCCTTCTCCTGCTCTGCTAGGGTTTGACTTTCTTTGTGCTTCTCTGGCCGCCACCGCCTTCCCCTCGGGGAGGAACTCCCCTGAGATGTCCTCCTCTCTCCTTCCTCCTCCGCTTAACACCCCCTCCTCCTCTTCTACTCTCCTTCTTAGAGATTGGAAGAGCCTTATTGCTACCCAACCACTTGTTTCTAACGAGTTTACCTCATCGATCACTCACTTCCCCACTGAGAATGCCACTGCTCATTTCACCGCCGCTCAGTTCAATGCTGGATCCACAGAATGGTCCCTCTATCTGGTCGGCTACTCCATTGGTAGGCGTCCGTACTATGAAGCTTTGCTCACAACAATCAAAAAAGCTTGGAACTTGAAAGGATCCCTCTCTCTGCTTACCTTAGATGATGGGTTCTTTCTCCTCAAGTTCAATAACCGGGAAGATTTTGACATGGCTTGGTCGGGTGGCCCATGGTTCTTCTTTGGAAAACCCTTCATTCTGCAGAAGTGGACTCCGGACTTCATCCCTGTTCGTGAGGAGTTCCCTTCGATCTCCCTGTGGATCAAAATAAAAAATTTCCCGCTCTCTTGCTGGACGCCGGAGGGAATCTCCAAGATTGCGAGTTGTGTCGGTATCCCTCTAGCTAGCTGTTGACGCCCTAACAGTTGCCAAAACGAGACTCACCTTTGCCCGGGTGTGTGTTCAGGTGAGTATCTCCTCTGCCTTGCCGGATGAGATCTACTACACGGTGGACGACAAAACCTTTCCCCTTACGGTGCTCTATGACTGGAAGCCTTCCCACTGTTCCTTTTGTAACTCCATCATGCATGTCCCTAATGCCTGTCCAAAAAACCCAACTCCTCAGTCTACTGAGACCTCTCAAAACCGTGGCAGAAGCACCAGCCGAAAACCCTGGAAACTTCCTCCTAGACTGAACATTCCTAAACCTCCCAGTTCTTCTTCCTTTCAGCCTCAACCACCTCTACCATCTACCTCTCTTTCAACAGACCCTCCTTCTTCGGCTTTTGAAATAGCCACCCTCATACCAAACCTTAACTCCCCTTCAGAGGACTTTATTCCCCCCTCACCCACCATCATTACTAACCCACCAACCTCTGTGCATACTTCCCCACCTGTCCCGACAAAAAATAAATTTGATGCTCTTAATGACCAAGACACTAATCCTGAGACCTCCCTGCTCAAGCAGTCTCCTTACCTTCTTCTTCTTCCAACCCCCATGATAATCCGGACAATCCTCCAGATTTAACCAAAAAAATCAGTGCTTCCAGTAATAGCCAACCCAATCATCAAAATGTGACCTCCAATTCTACAACCAAATCAACAAGAGCCAAATCGGCCAAAAAGGCCACCACACCCAACTCAAAATCCCAATGAC